CCCCCTGGGCACCGGGAGCAGCCGCGGGCCCTGCGCCGTGGCAGAGAAGTCGCCCCGATCTCCTTTCCGCGGCTCCTCAGGCTGGTTTTCCCTCTTGTTACTCACATCAGAACCGGGATTGCTTTTGCCGGTGTGAAATAACGGTTTATTGTTCTCGCACTCACAGCTGTGATCACCAGCAAGGGATAATAGCGGAGTTTGCTCTTAAGCCGATGTGATGGGGCCGAGCAAGACGGCGGTGTCTGATGAGGCGTTTGCATTCACCACCCAGCGATACAGAAATGAAATTAAGGCTTTACAAACACAGGTACCATTGTGTTGAATTGTTTTTCTTTGTGATTGTAACAGAAGGATCATTTTGACCCACTTTGTGAGACAGCTCAGCAGAGAGTGTCATACTAGCTTTYGTCACGCTGTCACACATAATCTTGACACTCAGTTTGTAAGGGTAGAGATCAAAAACTATATCTGTAATAATTCTTAACTGTCTGTTGTGATTCAGTCCCAGTAAGCAGCTGAGCAGGCAGTTATTTGCTCACTCTCCCAGCTGGGATAGGGAAGAGAACAGGAAGGCAAAAAGTATGAAAAGTTTTGGGCTGCAGTAAAGGCAGATTAACAGGGAAAGCAAATGCTCCATGCACAAACAAAGCAAAATAAAGAATTAATTCCTTATGTGCCATCAGCAAGCAGGTGTTCAGCCATTTCCATGGCTTCAACACATATAACARTGACTTRGGAAGACAAATGCTGTCACCAGTCTCCCTTTCTCCTTATTCCCTGCAGCTTCTRCTGCTGAGCATGATGCCACAGAGTGTGAAATATCTCTTGTCAGCTGGGGTCAGCTGTGTCAGTTGTTTCCCCTCTAGGTTCTTGCCCACCCCCAGGCTACTCGCTGAGCWGSTGAGGAGCAGAAAAGGCCTTGACCTGTGTGAGCATTGCTTAGCAAGAGTGAAAACATTGGGCTGCTGTTAGCTTTGTGTTCAGCACAAATCCAAAACGGTGCCATCATGACAGAGYTGCATCACCTGTGTAAAGTGTTCTATATAACATCAGGGTGTTTTTTTTTACACTTTGAACAGCTCCAGTTTAATAGAAATGTGCCTGCAGTTCCAGAGAACTTGGCTCTCAGATTCTCTCACCCTCGTCCAATTATAATAGAAAAACTGAAGGCATCCAACGATCAGAGAAATCCAGTTGGAAGTGAGGACCCCAACCTGAGAAACTCTGGGATGTTCTCAGTGGTATCTGAAGAGAGACTGAAATTGGCTGTTCAGCTGGCAAAAAGAGATGTCAAACAAAGACGTCTGGAAGAGCAAGTGAAACAGCAAGTATTTGGAGATGTGGTCAGTAAACCATTGTGGACCCACAAATCACAACAGCAGAAGACTGAAATACTTGTAAGTCAAGAAAATAAAAATGCCCTGAGGTCTCAGACTCRCTTGACAAGTCAGCAGAGGCTCGACCAGCCTTCCCAAGGGGGATCTGCCAGCTCTGATGCAAACATTTATCTCCGCGTGGTTAAGGAGGGAAAGCCAACACCAGCTGTTTTGGACTCTCCACCCATCCATGACACAGCACCAGAGCCCAAGCCAAATTTAAATAAAAAAGAACATAAAAATATGCAGGAAGTCCAGCGTCTACAAAAGGAATTAAGGAACTATGTCCAGAAAATTGAAGAAATTATTAAAAAAGGTGTAAGACTGAACAGTAATTATGTTATATACACGTACATTAGTTTGTTGATTTTTCCCCCCATTTTTTGGGTTTGATTAGAATTCATATTTATATCTGAATTTTTGAGAACCATCTATTTTTTTTTAAAGATTACATCTAGAAAAGCTAGCCAGCTTAAGYAATTGGTTCTTTTGTAATAACTAGCAGGAGCTGTAACCATTCCTAATTTTGAGTGCTTTATCTGCAACTTTGTCATAAAACTAAGGGGTGACATGCYTTTAACTAACTAATGAGCTATATTGTATATCTGTTTAGTCTTTTGACTAAATTGACTGTTTAGTCAAATGCTAAATAGAAGCAGGATGCGGCGTTTACAATAGCTAACTTGCATTACTGTTMATACATGACTTGGTTCTGCATGGAAGACCCTTATTTCTAAATTATGTCTGTTGTCATGGCTTAATTGGGATATTGTGGAAATTAAATTAAGATGTAAAACTTTATATTCTGTGCTTTTTAGGGAGAGATAGAGAACTTCTAGATCCCGAAAACGAGCAGCGACTTTGCACTAGGAGACAGCAACAAGCRGCACGGTCAGCTCGGATGCTGTACGTGCTCCAGCAACAGGTAGGAACCATCAYTTGAAACTGGGATGCATAGTAGTTTAGTTTATTGAGACGAATTCAACAAAAGCTRACTGAAACAAGAGAAATTCAATCAGGTTATCTCTGAACTTCCATGGCATTCTACTTTAGATTTGAATGGTGCAATTAATTTCCCTCATGGCTGGACAGAGAGGTGAGCATCACTGTTGGAAAATTTGGACTTTCACTCAGATGCTGTAGTGAAGATCTGCTTTTCATTGATAGACATGGAACTAATTCTGACTGACTTGCTCCTCTCCCTCTCMTTTCTTGATAAACAGGTAAAAGAAATTCAGGATGATTTAGAGAAACTGAGTCCTCATACAATCAAACATACTAAAAAGGTAAGATGTARTTATCCTTCATACTGTGACTTACTGACAGAGTTTTGTAGGTACCTGAGTTTGATTGTCTAGGGTGCAGCTGAGCCTTCTCCAGAAAGGAGATTTGCTTTACACATTTCATCTCATTCTCAGAGAAGTATGGCTCACTTGGCCTGAAACTGCCTTTGCTGCTTGCCTCTTCTTCTCAGTTCTTTTCTGTCTGCAGTAAATGAAAGGAAGATGGAGGGTGTGTTTGCTTTTATGTGGTTTCTAATTCCTTCTTCATTCCAATTCCTTTGCAATTACAATATGTTCTACTCTTAAATTTTAAAGCTTTCTAAACTTTTTATTGATGTCACTCAGTCTTACCAGTCTTCTTTCTGATTTTCTTTGCCCTTTCAGCAGCTTTCAGAAGGATGGCGCTGAGATCGTGCCTACCCTGTTGTTCTCTTGTGCTTTTTCGATCACTTGTATTTTCTTTTGTAACAAAACCCAAAGGATTGAGAGTATCCTATGCTTGTGCAATTGTTGCACATTAGGGTCCAGCCAACTGTAGATGACTACAGTTCTGTATTGGCACAGGCAGTAGGAACATCAGGACCTGTTAYATCCAGGCTGTTTTATCTGAAGCCAGCAGGACACTGACAGGAGTACTCTTGTGAGGAATTTTGAGTAGATTACGTCAATGCCTGTTACGTTTTGTTTCACAAATGGCTTAGCATCAATCAAAATTATTCCAAGCTGGAGCGTTTCTACATGAAATTCTGGCAACAATCCTTCCAGTGGTATAAGTATTCATAGAAACTATAGTTACTAAAGCATTTATTTTTTATTTTTTCAGTCTCAAGCAGTGTCCAGGTTGGCAGCAGTGCACAGAGGAGCTGTACGAACCTTGCARGCGTTTGCCAATCAGTTTGCAGATCAAACAGATGAGCAGATTCCTGCCCACTACAAGGAATTGGGCAGTCTCATTCGACAGTTGTCTCTCTGCTCCGCCAAACTAGAAGGGGATTCTTCCATTTCTGATGTTATTATAGATATTTTGTTGCAAGTTGAGGTAGGAAAAACCATTTGTTTTTGCTAAGGCAGGAAAGATGTAGTGAAGCATGAGATTGTGTTCATGAAATGAACAGAATGTATTTCTGGTTTTGTTTTTATACTTTAAAGGCCATATTTTCCAATATAAAAATGTACTTCTAATGTTCCTGAGTAATGGTGGACTAAAAGGAAGGTGCGTCCTAAACACAGAAGCTACCTGCTGCTGGTCTTATTSAGGCTGTTCCTATCTTTCTTGGCTGTCCTGGTAGAATTAGGACTGGTAGTGATAGTGGTAGCAAAGCATCAGTTTCTAATTCACTTGTCATTTTCAAGACTGAAGGAATTAATTTTATGCATTGGTATGCATTATTTGTTTATTACTTTGGATGTMTGCTTTAATCATCAGCATCAGTGATGAGCACCTGAGGATCTCATATGGTTTTGGGTGCAGAATTGTCCAGGCAGAAGATTAACTTGTGCATACAAGAGTTACTTAGCTCTGTGCCCTTCTAATAGTTTTTTTATTGGATGGTTCATACATGCCACTGATATCACAGAAAAGTTCTGATTCATGTTGCCTGCTGCATCAATAAATAAAAGCAATACCAGAGCCATAAGATACTTTCCTTAAAATACTGTTTAAACTGYAAGAGCTGTGTTTTTATTTTTACTGTTATGAACTGCTCATGAGAATAATAACAGTGCTAACAGGCTGGGAATAGGAAAGGAGGTTCTTGTTTAAGTTTGGACATAACGTTAGAAGTGTCTGTGTTACCACGTCATGTGATCATGAGGTTTTTTTTGCTCTGTAGCCCTCGTGTTCAATTCTTTTTGAACATTCTGTAAGATACAAATGGTTTGCTGGAGTCAGTTGTAAATGCAAAAATAAAAGCATTTTCAGTAAGGTACAAGTTAATAATATGAAAAAGCTTCTACATGAAGAAACTATCAGAAATAATCATCATCATTAAAAAAAAACCCCAAAAACACACCAAAAAAGCTCCAACTGCTTAGCATCTCTCAAATTTGCTTTTCWTTATATCAGATTTACTGAGAGAGTAATTAAAACTAAATATTTGGTGCAGGATCTAAATTCACTGCTGGAAAACAAGMGAACACCAAAAAGAGTGAAGAAATGTATTTCAGCTTCTCAGGCCAAATCTCCAAGCAACACTGAGACATTTCCAGGCAGAAAGCACCTTCTGTCTCCAAAAGGAGAAAACAAATCTCTCACCTTGAAGGGACAGCATGGACAAGAGCCTAAAAGACCTCCATGTGCCAGAAGTGTCTTGACTGGTTTGTATTTTGAATTACTAAATTCATTTTTATCTCTTAACTTGCCATCTGCAGTTCAATTTTTAGTATGGTGCTGTTGGTCAGAAGTTGGTCAGGTATTAGTAAATCAGGCTAACAWAAAACCAGGCTGTGGTTGTTTAACTGTTCACACTGAAAAGTTGATCTGTAACTTTGGCTCAGAATTTCCTTGGTTGGTACAATTTCTCTGCTTCTGAGAGCAGTGGCTGTTTTATCCTTGCCAGTTTATTACTAGTAATGTCTTTTGAACAACACTCGTAGTTTTCTATCTGGAGACAATTTTAAGCTGAAGACTGGGGGTTTTCACCACTATCTTGCCATGCAGCTGTTCRTAGTTGGCTTTCTATATTGTTCTTTTACTTTGTATATGAGAGGAAAGGAGCTTTATTCTTTCTCAAGGTGCTGTGAGATAAATTTACCTGAAGTATTTCGGCACCTCATGATAGCTGCTGTAAGTTCTTCCATTATTATATAACCTATATTATCTGTTTTTCTTCTTTGTGGTGACTTTCTCATACCTCACACTGGTTTTTACTAGATTAGTAACATTTTAACACTGGTTTTTACTAGATTAGWAAGTATTCCTCGCTACCCACAGGTAAGGACAAGAAGAATTCCATTTGCTGAACTCATCTTTGGCAGTCCAGGGAGACAGTATATTAATATTTAATGGTTTCCATTTGTCTAGCTGCCTGAAAAAGGATGTTTTTTTATCACTGCCTAGACCTCATACAGCAATTATTACCAAAAGGCTTTCCCATGACTTGCGTATATATGTGTGTTTTCAAATATCTGTATACATACAAATATGTAWATGCCCACAAACCCCAAACTCTCCTGTTCATCAAAACAATGTAAGAAAGACAATTCCTTTAATACTTGTCAGGAAATATAAGGCTAGCATTTTTCTTTCTTTACTTTGATTTTTTAGAAACTATGGTAGAGCTTAAAACAGTTCGTGATTAGGTACACCTGGCATAACAGAAGTATCAAATATAGAAATATAGACAATTCTTGTGACTTTCCACTTAGAGTTAAGAGTTTATGTGTTATTTTTGATACAGATAAACACTGACATGTTGCAAATATTTCAGCTGTTCAACAGGCAAACAGCTCTGCTCATGTATTACACAATAAATACCAAGAAGAAAGTGGCTCACCTATTCCAGAGGGAAATGCCACTTTGCGTGAGGGAAGCACAGATGCACTGGTGAGAGCTGCAAAAAAAGAATCTGTTCTTGAAAGTAGTGCTTTGAAGAAGAAAGGTGTGTTATTGCCTGAAAAACCACAGGTATGGAAGTGATAAATCATTTGTGTTGCCTTCTGCTCATGCCCTGGGATTTTTTTATATTAGACACTGTCAAAGCTTCACACTTCCTCACGATATTGCTATTGGGAACTGGGAAACATAGGAGGCAAACTATGTCATCTGCCTGTTACTTTTAGTGGTTATGACTATTTTAACAAATGTTTCTCGAAAGCAGTGATTGCTGTTCCTTGGAAATACACTCCACAACTAGAAACAACAACAGAATTGGTACGGAAAATGCTGACTGAAAGCGGTTTCATGTTTGAAATTAGCTTTTTTTTYCAATTTGAAATTAAAGCAGAAGTATTTTCCTTCTATGGTCATCCTCGGTCACAAAAAATGCACTGAGCAGTAACGTTGTGCTAATGTTATGTAGGAGAATATAASTTACGCAGGCTTACTTAATTGATTTCAGAAGTTATAAAACTTCACCATACAAGTTCTGGTTTCTGCTAAGTCTTTGCAATCAGAAAGAAGGTCCATAGTGCAAACAGAAGAATTCTTAAAATCCTAGGGCTGGATTTTGCAAATAAGTGGGTTTGGGGTTTTTTTTTCTTCCTCAGAGTATCACTTAAGTAGGAAAGTCAAAGCCGACAAAGTGACATAGATGTATATTTATGTAACTTTTACTGCTTCCCTCAGTGAGGATTGTGGGCAGGAACGTTAAGCATTTCAGTAATTCATTTTGAGAGGATGACTCTAAGTGACCTTGTAGCAAATACAAATGTGCAAGTATTATAGTTTTGTGGCTGAATACAATATTACCTTGGAAACCTTCTATCTGGATTTATTAATAGTTAACATAGAGTCTAATTCTGAAAAATCAAAAAAAAAGGGTTTTCCCCATGAAAAGCAACATTGGAAAAGTTGGAATTTTTTGCAGAAATAATAGTTGCAGGATTAAGCTTACGTTCTGTTGAGGCACAACTGTACTTCCCTTTAAAGTACCTGTAAAACCTTTGCATATATCAACTGTGCAGCAAAACCAGCAGACACAATTTCAAGAAAAAGTCTGAAGCAGAATGCAAAATACTTTCAAAATTCAACAACTGGAATATGTGTGTTTAATGTGATCATGTTACTTTTAAGGAAATGCTGAAATCTTTAAAATCAAGACGGGTACACCCTCCAGGAAAACATGCCCGATTTCAAGAGCCAACTATAGCTTTCCAACTGAAAGGGAACAAAGGACCTGTTAAAGAGAGCAGAATGGCCTGTGTGCTTTCAAAGCCTCCATCTGTCTCACCTAAGCGGTATGTTTGGTATGTTTGGTATGTTTGCAGTCCTCTAGTGCTCATCTTTACCCTAATCCCAGTGGAAATGCTGCTGATCTGTGCGGGTAACTAGGATAGGTTGGCCTGGCTTCAGCCCAGGGTGGCTGTGGCACAGCACAGCTTGCTGTCAGATTGCTGTGCTCCTTTGCCACTCGGCCCAGAGAAGCCTCATTCCCTAAAGCCTGGCAAGAGCCAGGACTCSTCTTTTGCCTGAGTTGCTCCTGGTAGCCAAGGCCAAACTGTGCCAGGCAGGGCAGTGACAAAACACAGCAGGCAGAGTGGSTATTCCCAGCACTGCATTCAGAAGGTAAATACTATGCCCCTCTTCCAGAAGGGCAAGGTACATATATTTGTCCCAGACAATAATAAAGTGCAGGTTTATTTACTTTAATATTCACCATCCTGTTAGACAGGGCTCTCCAAATGTAGGTTGGTTTGGGACTGGTGTTTGTGGCATTTGAAGCAGGAGATCCAGGTGCTGGGTCTGTACTAGGCAGTGTGCATGGTAAGATGAGGAGCTTATTTCTCTGGACAGTTTGTGGATAGCCATGTACTTCCTTGCCAACAACAGGAACATGATTCAAGATCTCTCATTCTCAACAGAATTTTCTGGCTTATATGGTCTTAAAGTCTATTGATTTTATCTCTAATATTTCATGTAACTCTTCCAAACTAATACTCAAAATCACACTATTTCATCCTTCAGTTGTTAGAATGTACATTTTGTAACCCTCTATGCTACTCTGCTATTTTTGAAGATTAGCAAGGCTTGAAGCAAAAAAATCAAGAGGAGCGAAGGTTCTAACTGACCTTTGCAGAGGAGAAACGAAAAAAATACCAAAGTTAAGGTAATGACTTAGTTTGAAAAATCTCATATGTGGTGTCAGATATGATACAAGCTTCTCCCCTCTCCCAACAGTCCCCTAAAAATACATTTCTGTAGTTTGGTGTTCTAAATTATTGTTGTCATACCAGTTTTCAGAATGGCATTGTCATTTGCTGTTCTTTGTGCAGGTCACAAACTGTTCCTCCAACCCAATGTGCAGACAAAGCTGGGAAGAAGGTTTGGGAGTGGTCAGAGCTTCTGCTGGACAGGACACAGGTGGTACAGGCAAGTTATGCTGCTTGGTGAATGATGCCTTCAGAGCTGTCAAACATCTATAAAGGGCCAATACACCATTACTTTTCAATTTAATGCAAGTTGCTTTGTTTTGTTTTAGGGTTTTTTTCTTCCTTGTATTGGCTTTGTGTCTGTTTTCTGTGGCATTAGTTTTTTGGGGTTTGTTTTTTTTTTAATTAGGAGGTTGCAGAAAATGCAGATATTCTGAGTGAAAAGCTATTGGATGATCTCTTGGAARATACTGCTCAGGAACTGTGGAGGATGGATCAGCATCAGAGACTCCAGACTGAGGGCCTGCCTCYAGCTGACAGTCATAGCCTAGAGTCAATGTTGCAAAGAATGGAAGAAATTGAAGTAAGATTTTCTGTCTTTTTTGGTCTCATTAGTACCGATTTTTTATTTGATGTTTTCCCTTTTTTGTGCTATAGTAGTTGTATAGTTTTGTGCTCAGTATTCTAGTAGCATGAGCATCTTGAGGAAATATGCTCTGGCAACCCAAAATATCTCACAGGGTAACATGGAGAAAGCAGACAAATACATGGTTTATCTGTGCCTTTATTTATCCATCTTTCTATGTTTACTTGACTTGAGCTTTCTCATATATTGCTTGCTTTCTTAATAATTTTTCTTCCATCAGTTTTTTCATAGTTTCTGGTTTGAGTTCCATTTTTACCTTCCTGTTCTTTGAAATTTATTGTGACTTAGAACTACTCAGTTTAGTGCCATTTACTTGTAGAGATCTGTTTGTCAGTTGGAAGTGTGAAGGTGACRTCCTGCAGTGTCCTTGTCCCCAGGAGACACCCATTTGGGTGTCTGGAGCACCCATTTGGGTTCCCTGTTGGTGAGGCAGGAGCAGCTTCGGGGTCCTTCAGTTGTTTGGCTAAGGGCTGTTGGTCTGAAATGAGAGAGTTCCCATGGGACTGGCAGCCAGTTTTCTATTCAAGTGTGGCGTTTTGAACAAGATAAATGGCTGTGTTTTCAATCCCCCACTACCTTCCTATGTTGTTTTACCAGTCAAAATAAGCTGCTTTGCCCAAGGAGGATCATCACTTGCTTTCCTATCGTGTTACAATTAGTACAGCTGAGCTGCCAGACGTGGTTGATTGACTGATGTTGTGTGTTCCAATGCAGATGTACCAGGAGGCTGTCCGCAGGAGAGTCACCCAGATTGTGTACAGTGACTCCCAGTTCTGGGCCCAGCAAGACAAAATGGGTAGTTGTCTTTTTTGATAGAACTTTGTTTCCCTGTAATGTRTAGGTTTAAATTCAGGTGTTTTGAAATCAAGGTTGTTGGATTAAATAATGAAATAGCACCGCTCAGACACATTTTTTACCATAGATTCTTCTTTCAGAGGGCAGTTTCTAACATGTAGTTCTAAAATCAATACTTTATCAACATTCCTTTTCTTTATCCTGCTGTTTGATTGAGTAGCACAGTGAAGCTACATTGATTTTTTAAGGTATCACATCACATACAACTTTACTGAAACTGTGTTGTTTTTAACACAAGTTGGAAAATCTCACAATAAGACAGGTGAAGTTTTACACCAAATCTTTATATATAGATTCCTCTTCTATGTCTTGGATTTACCACTAAGTTTAATGGAGTGTGCTATTGTTACTGTGCTCTTGTTAATGGTATTTTCTGTCTCTCTGCTGGAAGTCTCCACTGGTAGCACAAATTATTTRTACTAAAGGTAGCATTTCTAAAATGCTCAGCTTTAATATAATTAGCTGAATTTATATTTTTTTCTCACTTTCAATACTTCACTTACCTGAAGGACTTCCCCTTAAAAGAAGCAAAAGTCTTCGTGAGGACTTAACCTGCAGTAGATGTAATTTTTCTCTTTTAAAAAACCAATCTAAAATAGTATTTTCTTCCTTCTAGAACAACAAATGGCATCGACAGCTAAAAAATTTACATCTCCTCATCCAGTTCAGATAATCAAATTAATTGGACACACAGAGCTAGAAACAGACATTTTATTTGRAAAACCTTTTGACAGCACGTAAGTGGAATATTTGGCCCTACACCAAACTGGTGCATAAGATACGTGTGACTTCATTATAGTGTTTCATTACACTGACTCTTCAAAAAGAGACTTAAAARTTTAGTTCTGTCTTGATAATTATCTTATCTTTCCAGTGATATTGATGAAAACAAAGAAGCAGAGGAGAAATTGCAGACTGGAAATGACATTCGGCAGCCCTTGCCTCTGAATTCTGTACAGAAAGTATGCTCTGTGTCTCTCTCCGTGCCAAGCAATATGCTCCAGAGCATCTTGGATTATAACAGCAGATATAAGCATCATTTAAAGCTTATTTCCCATGAGGTGGTGGGCAGTTTTGATCCGTGGCAGATCGCTGAGAGGTATATGAACTATCTCTGTGGTTTGGAAGTGAATGTATCAGCTGATGACAGGGTTTTCTGTTCTTACTCAGGAKATAAGTGGGGAGGGACCATTTAAATTCCAAACTGAAAGCCAAAAGCCGTTGGCTCTCTGACTATTTCTCTGCTGGTGCTCAGTGTTCATGGATTTTAAAKGTAGTTGGATAAAACAAAAGGATATGGAATATCCATCCCTATTAAGAAAGAAYTGCAAAACCTAACCTCTGGTTGTAGACAGAATGGGTTCCCTCATTTGGCTGTACTGGCAGATTGGACATCGGGCCTAATTGCCAAGAGTTTTTAAACTTCTGCATGTTTTTTAATGTAGTAGCATTGAAATCAGTGAAATGGCTCATTTGAGTGACCTTTGGCATCTGYATCACATTTCCAGGAACAGGAAACAGGAATAAGTCCTTCAATACTTGACATGACTTGCACACAAGAAGCTAATCCTATATGTTGTTAATTTGCATAAGTGTGGATAAGTGGGCAAATGTAGTAATAACTATCATTAGATCAATGCATTTGAACCTGCTGAATCAACTCACTGAAATGTGCCTTGGCAGTGCTCAGTGCTGTTATCCTGCCTTCTGAGCTGTGCTGCCTTAAGTCACCGGTGCAAGGCCAGGGGCTTCTGGGGCTGGCACCTGTGTGGGGCTGGCACCTGTGTGGGACTGGCACCTTTGTGGGACTGGCACCTTTGTGGGGCTGGCACCTTTGCGGGGCTGGCACCTTTGTGGGGCTGGCACCTTTGTGGGGCTGGCACCTGTGTGGGACTGGCACCTGTGTGGAGCTGGCACCTTTGTGGGGCTGGCACCTGTGTGGGACTGGCACCTTTGTGGCACTGGCACCTTTGTGGGGCTGGCACCTGTGTGGCACTGGCACCTTTGTGGGGCTGGCACCTTTGTGGGGCTGGCACCTTTGTGGGGCTGGCACCTGTGTGGGGCTGGCACCTCTGTGGGGCTGGCACCTCTGTGGG